TAATTCGTGTTGTACGTGAGAGGAGTTGCAAGTAAGTGTATCGGGATAAGTAAGTAATGGTATTTATATGTTAGTTGGTGCAAACTACGCGACACCCGATGCGAAGGCACGGCCGGAACCGGGGCGCGAACCTTGTCAAGTGGAAGAAAGTGTGGAACTAGGGAGAGTATGATAAATCCACCACTTTTTACATTTTAAAATATCAATGTGGAATATGAGAATACGTGTACATTTACTTGTTTCTTATACCACTGGTATTTAGAGTCTCTGAGCCTCTGTACACTGCAGACTTTTTATCGCCCTATAATTTAATCGGACGCTTCATCAAAATGAACTAGTTGGGGATGCGTATATTACACTATTTTTTTTTGTATGACTTTGGATTGACAGCCCGTCCTTATCAAACTATCGGCAAAAAAGTCTGTACTTTGCAGGGGCTTTTATTTGTCAATATTTCTTATTAAAAGGCTTCAAAGAGATGAAATATATAAATGAAGTTTTGATAAGATAAAGCAGGCATTTTAAACACGCATTTGTAGCTTTTCTTTTTATTCGAATTAAATGTGAAAGAATATCATCATGTTTCTGTCACCGTGCTAATTTTATTTTCTAATGAAAATGGAAAGTAATTGACTATTAAACACTGATATTTTCTTAGTAAGACCGAATAAAGTAAATTAAAGTATTTTTTTTATTTATAATACAACTCTATGTGATATCCCGGTGTTGACGTTTCTTACGCACATATGAACACTATCTTAGGTAAAACTAGACCAGTTTCAGGTTCCAAGTGATACAAGACCTGACGTAATCACAACCTGTGTTATATAATGACGATTATCAAATTCTGCACTATTAATAATAATAGTTCAAGCTGCATGCGGAAATACATCAAAGAAATTCCCCGTCATTATTTAATAATTGATGTTATTTACTAACAGCAGTTGTGTTTTGTTATTAGAGATATTATTAGACACTAATTATTATCTATACTTATAGGATAACTATGTACTTTGTTATAACCGTATAAGTGTTTAACTTGTTACTTGTGGCGCGGCCAAAATACACTTTCAGTCATTCGTAATATCTCTATTAAGTTATGTACATATTTACATTATTATTGCTTTAATCTATGATAATCACATCTTGTATGTTTTAAACTTCCCGCGTTTTTTTGTTTTCGCTATACATTTTTTTTTATTTAAATAGGAAAAATTCTTGGTGGCCAGTATTTTTTTGGCTGTAACTTCAAGCCAGTCAAGGAGGTTGTATTTTGCACTGAACAAGAGGAAAATAAGGATTTTCGATAATAACGGCTATAATTTATGAACATAAGAATCGCATCTTTATGTTATTACTAGCTTTCGCCCGCGCTCCTTTCGCGTGGAATTAAAAAAACAAAAGTAAGTACTCTATGTGTTCTTCCAGATTGTCTTCTACATCTATGCCAAATTTCATCGAGATCCGTTCAGCCATTTAGGCTACTAACTTTAACAAACATTCATCCATCCATCTAAACTTTCGCATTTATAATATTAACTAGTAAGAAGTAAGATTGTCATCTTAAAGGACTTAGTAATTTTAAACACATTGATGTTCAAAAAATTTAAAAGGTAAAAAAGGTTTCGTAAAACCACAAATGTTTATATTAAAGACAAATCGAATCATCAAAATGCATTTAAAATACATTGTAGGAATAACAAATGCACGTCACATTTGACTTCTTTTGTATGAATTTTCGTCAACTGTTAAATCAAGTTACATTATATTAAAAATAATCATGTCACGTCGTCTGTATGCTTGTCTGAATTTCTATTACAAGTAAAACGAGATTGAGACCGCGGACTTTAGCAGGTCGAATTGCAGTCTTGTGTAAATGTGCGTGAATCTATAAGTGTTACGAAATTATACACGTTTTATGACACTGCTTATATTTCCTTAATTATTTTGTATATTTAATTACACTATGTTGTCCATGTCTGTTTTATGCAATGTTTCGTAACATAGGCATGTTTGCTTAGTTGGTACTCCTGGGAATAAATGCCGAGGGCCCGTTGTGTTTGGAGAACGCTGAACCCTCTTTTATTTCAATTTAGGATGGCCATCGGGGGTGTTTAAGTGAGCAAAATCCCACATAGCATTTAGAAGACTTCTCGACACCCAAAGGGGTTACATTGAATCACGGATTCGATTAGCTCGCTCAAAAAATTAAATTTAAAATTGACTTTGATCTAAAGGAATCTACCAAATTTGGCCATAAAAATAAATTAAACTCTACGTCTGACAACAACTACATAATTCCATTTTAATTTTAGTAAAGCAAAAGACGCAATCATAGCATCAAATTCCATAACAATTTAGCAATAACTGACTAATCTGATCCACTAGAACATTCCAGAAATAAGCTCAGGTATGCAATCTCAACATGATCAGTCCGTGTATGGCAGCATTACATTCTTTACTCAACATCCAGTAATCAGGTCAATATGTCAGAGGAGACTTTTTTACAAGATGATAGTTGATGACAAAAATTTTGTAATTTATTTCCGTACTACAAAATCAGTTGTTAAATGGTAAAGTAAACCTTAGTGTAGAATTTAAGGCCTGATTAACTAAATGATTGCAAAAATGATTGGCGTAACTACATTATATTGTAAAATGAATTATGTACTAGCGGTCAATATATTGAATTGCATATAAATGAAATATGGATAAACCAGAAATTTAACTTAGTGCCGCTAAAGCAATTAGGGTCAGTTAATTAAATTTAATTTAAAAGTATTAATGAGGGCTGATTTTAAAAAGAAATTGATCTCAAATAACAAGCCGCAAAATTTTACACTTACACAGAGGTCATCAAATTTTATAGATTTTTCATCACTATTATTATACTTCCCCATTTAGGGACTCGGAGTCTACCCTAAGGGTGACAAGGCCAGTCAACTATGCTGGCTTATTACGTGTTGGTTGACTTCACGCATGTCTTTAAATTCATTCGACTGGTCTTCTACAGTCCTTATTAAACAAAAATAACTCATCTATATTTGAAGTACTTGGAATAAGTCAATCAGCATAGAATCTTGCAACGATACACGTAACTCATCCTCATGTTACATTGATCAAAACTAGTCCTAGAGTTACGTGATTGAAATAATTCAGTATCGGAATGTCGGTTCGTCTGACATCGCTACAAAAGGTAAACATTTCCCGATTCAGTTTTTCCAACTAAAACGTAACTAGGAATCTTATCTCGTAACGGACCACTTCCCACTTGATTTACAATGTTACCTTTTCCTTTGTGACTTTTTTGCTG